TCTGATTCACAGACACAGAAGCAAAAATATCTCACACACACACACACACACACACACACACACACACACACACACACACACACACACAGAGAGAGAGAGTGATGTGATTGATGTCTAAGAGCTTGTGTCATGTTGAGTTTCATATGTCTTTGCACTTGCTATAAAACCAGAAAGGACACTTTTGTAGCTGACCCTAAAGTCTGTGATGAGTTAAAGATACAGCCACTGCTGTTTAAAAAATAAAACTAAAATAATCTGGGAGAGAGCGGGTGTACTTGTTTGGCTCAGCTTTATTCTCTTGTGTCCGTGACTGACCGTCTCGCCTGCACGAGTCATCAACAGTCCTGGCACCACGTGCTCCTGATGGCGCTCATCCATATGGACCCAGTGATTCACTGTTTCCCTCTGTCTTCCACCCCGTGCACTCGATCTTTCTCCCGCTTCCTCTTTGATATGAGAGTTTTTGGGAACAGACCAAGTTTACGACCCAGTTAGTCTTAATCAAAACAAGGCAGGGGGGACAGAGACAGAGAAACAGAGACATTGACAAGGCCTCTTCTGTTGTTTATTGTCAAACTGGTTCAAATTTATTTTTAAACCTATTGTATGGGTTGAAAAAGTTTGTTTTAGGAACTTGAAGGTTTGGAGCTTTAAACATGTTTTGCATGTGTAGAGCGCTCAGGGTAATGAACTTGTACAGTGTGTCAGTAATGAGTGGACTTTCTAAGATGAGAGCTGGAGGAGATAAACTTTCCTGCCTTGGTTTCCCAGTTGCCCTCTTAGTTTATTAATTCTGTTTTTCCACTAAACTCTGTTGTTGTGATATTTTGTTGGAACCAGACAATGATGGAAAACATTTATCATGTTGAATTGTCACACTAAACATTATCTATGTTCTAAATCACTGGAGATGCATTCATTAAAAACACATATGCAGATAATACAAAAAAAATGTTAGCAGGTTTCATCTTACCAGAAGCCCTGAAGGTGAGAACACAGTGTATAATTATGGCCAACTGATTTGGCTGCTGGAGCAAATTGTCTGTTAGATACTAAACCATTTGGTGTTGACATCCGAGGGTTAAAATCTTGCATCGTGTCACTGAGAAATTGTATTCTGAATTAAGTCCAAGGGAAACAGCCTCAAAAACAATTTTGCACAAGAGGAAGGACTTAGGGCTTGAAAACTTTCAGGATGAATTACGCAGTACTAAAGAACTGACTGTAAAACAACTATGTTTTCACAGTTAACAATAACAAAAGTCCACAACAATGAAGAAGCTGTTTTCAAAGCTAGTTAACAACAGCATACAGGAAATTCAGGCTTAGTTGTTTGAATTGACGCATCATTAGAGTTGTGGACTTTGAGACTGGTAATTCTGGTATTTGTATGCTAATGTTCCTATTTAACCTGCAGTGAAAATACTTATTATAGTCTTTTGGAGAAGTTTCTACTACTTTGAGAGGCTACTAAATGTTTTGAGCAAAAAAATAAAAACAGTCTACTGTAGGAATATATTTAGTTTTATAACCTAAAACACAGTCTGTAACAAATCCAAAGCACTTTCTCAGTTCACATAAAGTTTACTGCTCTCTTATAAAGTTTAACTTTCCATTTTACAGTTTTTGCTATAGAAATATTTTCATCCACCAAGGTAAATCAGTCTTTTATAAGTTCTTTGCAATTAAGATGTAAGCTGCAGCCTATATTAGCAAGTCAAATCAAGTGAATCAAAATTGTTGACACTATCTAGAAAGCAATATTGTGTCTTTGTATATTTTTAGGGTGATCTATGACAAAAGTATAAAAGTATTACATCAGGATACCATATATTAAAGTAATAAATAATTAAATCTACACCATCCAGTCAGTGGTTTTAGTAAAAGTAAATAACTATGCCTGCCTTAAGGTATTCTGTGCAAAGAATCATTAATATTTTTATTATATTTTTGCCCTTTTTGTCTGTTTTACATGTAATCATGCTTCTCTTAGTGTCGTGCCTATTCTTTAAAAGCCAGCTGCAGCCACTAGGAGGCAGTCTTAGAGAAAGTGGAAGAACCAAAAACAAAGTTTTTTAA